CACACACACACACACACACACACACGCAGAGGCGCAAGCCACTCAGAAAGTTAGGTAGTGCTCTGAACGCTTGTCGAACGGCTCTGTGCGGCCGAGGAGGCGCAGGACAGCGCGGTATGCCCCTGTTACCACCAACGCACGTGTATTTGTTGCCGTCGCCTCCCGCTGCCGCTTTCGCCTTGATGCATCTTTCTTCTTCTGTTGTTGTTGCTGCTGCTGCTGTGCGGGCCGACTACCGTGTCCCTGCCCAGCAACAACACTGCTGTGCGACACCCTGTCATCGCCCTCCAGCCGCACCTTGATCAAAAAGTCATCATCATCATCATCATCAGCATCATCATTGTCGTTGGACCTGACCAAGTCTGCTGCAGCACCATCTACGGCACCATCTCGCGCCGCCGCAGACATGGTCACAATACGCTGCGGCACCAGCACCCGCTCCTTCTCCCTCACGTACCTCTGCAGGTCATGGATGCTGCGGAAGCCGAATACACCAACGCCTGTCCCCGCCCCACGCACCACCGCACCTCCACCTGGCTTTGCTGCTGCTGCTGCTACTGCTGCTGCTGCCGCCGTGTTCTTGTTGCCGTCACCGGCGCGTGCCTCTCGGAGTTCCTCACGCCGCTTGCACTCCGCCTCCACACGCTGCATCATTGGCCGCACCGTGTGCTCGATCCAGTGCGGGTGGTACGTCGGCGGCCACGCCTCGCACACCTCGTCGCACAGCAGCAAGTCCGCACAGAGCTGCCGCATCGAGCTCGTTACCTGCAGATCGTCGGCACATGCGACCACCACCTCGTCGGTGATGGATGGAGCGAAGAACGGCTCTAACTCCTCCGGCGCGACGGTGTAGCGCGCAATGAAGAGGGCAATTGCACGGACTGTGCGTCGTGGGTGCCGAGCAAAGTGCAGCAGCGCGTCGCGGTGAGTGAGGCCGAGTCGGTAGAAGAGACCCATCGCCGTGAGGAAAGGGCTTGCCTTGCCTGCATCGTCCATGACACCAACGTATTGCACTTCCTTCTCGCAGTAGCGCAGAACACTCTCCACACGCTGCTCGTGCCGCTGTGCCTCACGCATAGCGGCCGCACCGTCGTGCTGCCGCAAGTGTTGTGCCTCAAATTCCTGCATCCACTCAGGAGTGAGGGTCTCCTGCAGCGTGCGCCACAAATCCTCGTCAAAGTTCATACGAGAGCGCAGTGCCTCCTTCCTGCGCAGTATCTCCGCCGGCGGGGTGCGTCCCTTCTCACCGCCACCACCGCTGCTGCTGCTAGTACAGCGACTACGCAGCCGCATGCGGTGCGGCAGCGCAATGAATGGGTTCCGCAGTACAATTAGAAACAACTCTGCCGCAGCACGGGAGTCCGTAACAAGCAGCACAAGATGGATGGTCCCTTCAGCCGCCGCGGCATCCTCCTTGACTGAGCCCTGTGGAATTATTGGCTGCACATCCACGAAGAGAAGAGAATCAGGGGGTGGTGGCACAGCGGCGGCGCTGCTGCTGTTGTGCGTCGCGTGTATCTTGCGTCGCACAGCCGGTGACAGGAGATTGTACAACTCCGTCTGCAGCTGCAGCACCAGGCTGGGTAGGAGTGGGAGCTGGTGCTCCGCTGGGACCTCCAGCGTGAACTCCGGCCCGCAGAAGAGATGCGGGTCGATCATTTACGTTTCTTTTTTTTTTTGTTGTTCTTTTTGGATTGCCTTTCTTTCGTTTCCGTTATCCCCTTCACGCCTCCCTGCGTGTTATTACGGTTTCGCACTCGGCCTCGGCTTCTCCCAGCGGCCCCACTGCTGCGGTGGCAAGAGAAGACAGAGAGAGAGAGAGAGAGAAAAAAGCAAAAAACAAGAAGAACGGCAGTAGGCCAAGAGTTAAGGGAAGGGGCCAGCCAGCAGAGCGCAGTGTAAGCGTGCGCAGGAGACAGGAGGAGCGAAGGTCTATTCCACCAGCACCACGTGCCGGACACAATAAGAAAAAAAAAAAAGGGTGGGTGGCCTACGAGAGTGTGAGCGACGGGGCGACGAGAAGCGTGAAGCGCCCGCCTACCCGGCATCCGGCAGCGGCGCGGTGAGCAGCGGAGACGACACCAGCACGCAGCGCCGCACCGCCGCCTGCAGCTTCTCCGCCCTAAGCCTCCCCCTCGCGTTGGTATTGTACTTGAAAGGGTCGGCGAGCACCTCCCACAGCCGCGGCAGCGTGAAGAAAGGCCACTGCTGCAGCCGCAGCTGCTCCACGATGTATGTGTTCTCCTCGAGGAAGCGATCTAACTTGCTCGCCGACGTCACAGGGCCCGCGGTGGTGGCTTTCGTTGACGTGTTGGTGTTGTCGCTGGTGGTGCTGCTGATGTCAGCATCGCCGCCGTCCTCGCAGTGCTGTGCGGCAAGCTGCAGCACCTTCTCCACCATGGAGACCAGCAGCGGCAACGTTGTCGAGACCCACGCGTCCCCCAATTCCTGCTTCGGCGGCGGCGGCGGCTTTGGTTGTGCTTTTAGTTGCGACTGCAGCAGTGCCTTCTCCGCATCGGTGTAGGGCACGCCAGCAGCGATGGTGACAGTGGGCGTCGCCTGCTTCTCCTCCCCCTCCTCCTTCTCAGTACCGGCGGAATTCATGCCCGCACTGGGCGAGCGCGTGATCTTCTCGCCAAACATGAAGCCGCCACGTGAAGGGAGTGCAGGTGCGCACTCACCACTGTTACTCTTTTCTTCGTTCCTGCAGAGCACGTGACGGGACAAGAGAGAGAGAGGAGATGCACAGACAGACAGAGAGAGAGAGAGAGGGATACAAGAAGCGGTGTGCCTCGGCTGACGCCGAGTGTGGCGTGAGGGTGGGGGGAGAGGGAGAGGGAGAGGGAGAGAGAGAGAGAGAGGGGGGCAGCGGGGCTGTGCGTGCAGCCACCCACCCGCGCCAGGGGCTCACTGCGTCCCCAGCGCGCGTCGCTTCCGCTCCGACAGCTCCTCCAGCACATGCACCGTCTCCGCCAGGTCCGCCTCGGTGCG